AAATTGGTTGATAGTTCTCTCTTACATTTCATTATATATTACCTATAACCAATAGAAAGTCAAGGTTTTCATGTATCAAATGGCGTATTGTATAGCACTGTGTTCTGAACAGATAACCATCAATGTCACTCAGAGTAGCAGTTTCATTCTCGTGGGAAAGTTAACGACTAGCTTGGATAAATTTGTAACGGCTCTTGTCTCATAGTTAAAAAGCCATGAAAATTTTTAGAAGCAAGTGAATTTGTCTACTTTTTACATGTTATTAGTTTATATTCTTAGGTGTATTATTTAAATAAATAAAAATTGTTAAGTTCTTTACCATAATTGCTAAAAAAAATCAGGCTTAACTGTACTCGACAATCGAGAGCACAAAAAAATAAGATTGGGAAAGTACTTTATTTCTTGTTTTTCATATTTATTCTTTATTTATTATCATAAAAGTAACTAAAATTAAAAGTACAGATATTTTTAAGTTATTTAAGACTACAATTGATAAAATAAGTAATAATAATAATATGATTAAAATTATTCACAAACCACACACGTGAGCAGCTCATTGGTAATGTAATTTGATAGTGTAACGTGAGTTGCACATTCCCCGAGTGATTTCCAATTTATAATGGCACGAATAGCAGTTAGACACAGTTCAAAGGGCAATAAAACAATTAAATTTAATTATAAATAGATGTATAATGTTATGAACTTAGAGCTAATTAGGATAAACAAATGTAGTTTCAGGTTACAATCTGTAGTCATACTAGAAAGAAAAGAAGGTTAATTTAGGTTTATTTCGATTTTTTTTTGTGTGGTTATGAGATCGGTCGAATTGACCGATCCTGTTTTAAGATTAGGGTAGAGAAAATAACATATAAACTATAAGAATGTAGTGAAAAAAAAGTTTGAAATACATTTAGGAAGTTTTAGGGATTACACAAAGAAAATTTGAGATTTTTGAGATGACGAAAAGTATTTTTAATTTTAACATGAAAATTACTTTGCACACAGACTATTGAAAACAAATACTCAATACAGTCATGGACAAAACTTTATTTTAGTGAAAGTACTTCACTAAAAAATATGACTTTTTGTATGTGAAAGACTTGTAATATTAACTGAAAGACTGCCAAATACCATGAAGATATACCCAATATATATAGTTATAAGTATTACATTTATGTCAACTTTAAATGAGTACAGAAGGTCACGTGACTCGGTCAAATCAACCGACCCCGTGTTGGAAGAGTTAAGGCATTAGTGCATGCAACAAAACCTCCAAGACCCTCACTGGACATAACAACAATCAAAATCTGATCAGTCATAGAAGTGAGAAATAGTGATCAGATGAACCAGTGAAAAGTATTTATCCCCTACCTAGCTGGCAGTGTCTTAGGTAAGAATAACCAGTTTGAGGACATAGGTAGAATGATAAAGCATTCTGTGGACAAACAATGCAAACCACTCCAACTGGAGATGTCTGTAGGTCAGCAGCAATGAAAAGTACACCTTTAGTTTATGTAAAGGTGATATATGGGTTATGAGATTAAGGTCACAAACAGGTGTTGAGAAAGGGCATGTAATGTAACCTTAATATACCAGTTAGGTAACTGGAATTGTTGTCTGGGACAAAGGACCTAAAGTGCCTTGAGGAATATGGAGAAAACTGGGAACTCAAAGAATTTTTGTCTTGATTATTGAATGGTAGTAGATAAGAAGTGGGTTCAACCTCTTCTAAATACACGATATGTGTGTCATTTCCATCGATAATTGTCCATTATAGGAATAAGCAAAGACTGAGCCAGATATATGTCAATCTTAGAAATTAAACCCTGATGCCATGCATAGAACTGCATAACCTCCATACCTGAAATTTGAGCTTCTGGATAGCTGGGTGTACCATGTCAGATCATGGCTGCTTCCACAGAGATGGCTAAAGAGGAAGTGGAAGAGGAGAGTCTCCTGAAGGACCCAACAATGGGTTGGAACAAATCATAGTTAGTAGCCTGGGTAACATATGAAATGGAGGGAAGGCCTAGAGATGTAATCCCATTGCCAAAGCCCAAAGGATAGGTACTGTAGGCCAAATTACCAGTAGTTTGTTGTTCCAATGAGTGACCAACCCACCAATCAACAATGTTTCAAAATGAGAGCCAATCTGTTGGGAGAATCTATTTAGGTTGAGACAATTAATCTATTACCGCAGTCATCACCTGTGGAACATGGCAAGCTAGTAGAGTGATATGATAAAAGTGGTTCTGAGAAAGGAGATCCAAGGTTCAAAAACAAGGAACCCTGGACTAAATGACTCCTTCACGGGAAATGCATGACACAACCATGGAATTGTTGGAATAAAGCCTGTTGATTTTGCCATTAATAAGCCCAGACCATGATGCATCGCCTTTTGAAGAGCAAGAAGGACTAAATCATTGTGAAGGGAAGCCTTTTCATCCATGCATAGACCCTGGAGTTCCCGACAGTGGTGGGATGCCACACCATTATGCCAACGTGAAGATAGGAGCAAACTACAATGAACTTGGACATCTGAAATCCCAGTAAAAAATACCAACTGAGATTAAGGAATGAGTAACTTGTGAACCTTGGAGAATCTAGGCATTGATATAGGGGGAAAAAATTGATGACTGAACTCCAATATCCTGTCTTCTTAGGCCCAACAACCAATGGGAATAAAACCCTAGAAGAACTAGCACGACTCTCACTCTACCCCCAGGTCAACAAAACTCTAAAAGCCATAGAACTAAGTTCCAAAATCCAAGGATCTGTGGGAGAAGGAAACCCTATAGGTTGGGTGGATAAAAGTGGTGAAGATGTGAACTGAATGACTAATCCTGACTCAAAAACCTGTAGTGCTCATGGATTTGTGGTTAAGGTTATCACACATCCAGAAATTCTCAGGGCCGAGCCCCCACAGACCCCAAAGGCATACAATAATCACCGAAACCACTGGCAGCAATCTGACCGAACAGTGGAACCCTTATATATATAGACAGAATCTATTATGGGTAGCAATGTACCAAGGGGCTGATGTCGGGGGTCAGGACCCTCAAATAGGGGTGGAACTATGATCCCCTGTAAGGGCCGTGGAAATTCGAGATGCCTAAAACAACAGGGATGAACGTAGAAGCTGACAGTTGAACCAATGTCCATGTTAACAATGGTTCCAGCTCATCATGAACGAAGTTGGAGATCCTGAAAGTCTTACAAAAAAGTTTAGTATAAGGAAAAAAATGTTGGATTTTAGAGTTGTAAGTCTGTAGACTTACCCAGTCCCACAAGGGTTAATTGATCTATTCAGGGTAACTACAAATTCTGCCTTAGAACTCCTAACTTCGAGGAGCAGATGTATTATTTGAGAGTCGGAATATGTTTCCACCTGGCAGTGGTGGGCTAAATTACAAAGTTCCAACAACTGTGTCAGAAAAGGTATTACTGTCCCTTCATGTAACTGAGAAGTAAACATCCCTGTATGAACTACAATATCCAAAGATGGGGAGAAAACTAAATATTTGCTCCCAGTCCTTTCAGCCATGAAGTAAAGTGCAGGCTCAAAAGCAACTGGGGAAAGACCCAAAACATCATACTCTCGATGACCCAACTAAAGAAAACAAATCAGAGGCAACTTATCCTTTTCTATTTCTTTTAAAGACTGTTGTCATTAAAAGTTCAATTTTCGATACCTCACTACTATAAAGGCTTGGTTTGGTCTGATATTTCATTGGTGGTAGTGTCCAGTGTCACTGACGAGGAGTGGAATTCTCTGAAACTAGTCTGACTCACAGACACCCCCCCCCCAATGAAAGAATAGACCATTCCAAGCTTTTACTTGTTGTTAAACAAATGTTTAAACAACTCTATTTATTCAAGTAGTTTTTCTTGTTATAAGATGTTATAGTGTTTTAACTAATATGGGATGTTATAGGGTAGTTTTAACTATTTTAGGGGAAGTACTACCACCCTCACCCCATAGTATACCCTCACCTCACATTTGATAGCTAACTGAAATAAATAAATTTTGCAAAATCCAGCTTGACCAACAAGAGTGCAGAAAAGTGTGGTAGAAGCAGTCAAACATTGGTAAATTATTTTTAATGATGCAAGCTTGCAAAAAAACCACATAGGAAAGAAGTGGTCCCTTACATAACAACTTCTATTAAATAGAAAAGCCAGTGCATTTTGGTAACAATGCATTCAAAGAATGGCTTTTATGTCATGTTGTTCAGCAACAAAAGTATATAGAGTATATTTTTATGCTAAAATGGGTTCAGAATACACACACTATCAACCTTATACCCGAGTGAAGCTGGGTACTTTCTCTAGTATTAAATATTTTTAACTCCTTACAAAGATGAGAAGAATATAGATGTAAAAATGTCACATTTCACAAGAAGCACAGTTACAAATGTTTATGCATATATAAAAGGAATAAACTTCCACCGCCCACAAGGTTAGATTCTATAAAAGAATATGTACCATACACATAAATGCTCAAACCTGTCATTAATACTTGTAAAGGACCCAAAATTAATGTTTTCAGAAACATTATGTACCCTTTTATATTGTGCAGTTTCATAAATTTTAGATTCATGAAAAAAACAAAAGGTTCCTACCTACCCTGCATGAACAGGTGCTCTTGAGATGTCAACATTATCTGCAGCATAGTTGCTCACAAATACAGTTTCAATATCATGCCTAACGTGCAGAGGTGAGAGATGGTCTTCCTCTACTGTTAAAGGGGCTAGAAAATACAAAATTTAATTTGAGAATTGAAAAGTGTTGATGATTTTTGCTCAGTCTTCATACACACATTGCTGTCTTCAGCATTAGTACAAGGAAATGCAAAATTCACATTTGTGACATTTAAGTTATCATGCACAATTTACATCCAGTAGCAACTTCCATGTATGCATGATAACAAAATATCCTTAATGATTCAACTGAAACATTTCATATTATGTCACTCTCTACATTACTCTATAAGGACTATTATAAACATCGTATTTATTACTACTAGACAATATAAAACATCATTATAAGATATTAGATATCTTTGGTAACAATAGATCACATCCCTAAAATTAAGGGGTTTAATAAAATAATTAGACTAAGAACCTTTTTTTACTGATACACCAAATAAAATTAAGGTTAAAAAAGAAAAAGTTCAAACTATTTCACTGAAACTAAATGCTTAAAAACCTGCCAATATTAGACTTTATTCATTCAAAAACTGAAACCATAGGACTAGGGCAATTTTTGGAGGATAAAATACATGAATATCAATAAAACTATTTACATAATTTTCCTTAACAATAAGAGAGATAAAATATCCATGATTCTGTACATTTCAAATGAGTTCAATGGTAAGACGTGGAAGTAAAATGAATAAAAATGTCTAATGTTACATACTTATCCATACTCACATATGTAAAATACTTATCTTCATCTGAAAATTCTCAAATTTGATTTGTGTAATCTCTAAAACCTCCTAAATAAATATAAAACTTTTTTCAATAAAAGTTTATATTTATCTGTTATTTTCTCTAACCTAACTCTATATGCATTTGTTCAATTTCACTGACCTTGTAAACAATATAAATGACTGCAAATTGTATGAGGAAACTCCAGTTGTTTATCTTAAATAGCTTAGATTTTGTAACACCATACATCTGTTTCTTCTTTAATTTTGTTTTATTGTCCTTTCAACTGTGCCTAACTAATAATCCTGCCATGCAAGCTGTAATTCACTCAGTAAATGTGTAGCTTATGTTAACATATCGTTTTATGTAATGCATGAGCTACTTACAAACTGTTAGTGAGCATACCTCGTGAAGAATTTTGTTTTCTTTATCTTACCTAATAAGTTTCTATTTTTACATTTCAGTTACTTTTAGAATAATAAGTAAAGAATACACATAAAAAACAAGAAACATAGTACTTACCTGTGTCTTTTTTTTTTTGCTGTCATCTGTCAATGAAACTTAACCCTAGTTTATATACTTATGGTACTACTGAAGTAAATCATTTTTTATTTAATCAAATAATGCACCACAAAACACAGAATTATATCACGCAAAAAGCAGACAATGTCCTAACATTACCACAAATTTCCTGGCTTTCTAACTATGTGACAAGAGCCATTAATAATTCAGCTAAGCTCAACAATGTGTTTCCCATGGGAATAAAGTTTGAATTTGAAATGAAATAGCCAATTCTCTGTACAGAAAACAATGTAACATAATACCTCATTTGATAAATTAAAACTTTAGCTTTTTATTTATTATAAAAAATATAGCATAAAATGTAAATTTTAAAAAACATAAAGATGTGTAATGCGAGGTTTACAATTTATGGCTTTCTGGTTGAGTTATTTTTTCTTCTGATAAATTACAAGTTTTTTTTTTCTGTGGTTGTAACTATATCTAGGAACGGTATTTTGTTATGCATTAAGGAAAAATTTAGTTCTTATGTTTATTACTATGAATTTTGGTGTATTTGTAGCATTAGAAGGCTTCTTGTTTTGAGAAATGATGAATGAATGTAATTTCTTTACATGAATTTCCAGCAATACAATTCATAGTACAAAAAGATAATGAACTCTCATTCCTAAACATGATGGTTACCAAGACATATATCCTTATACCACAGGAGTTTACAGGGAACCCTCAAATACTTGTAAAGTACCTTGACTACAGATTGAACTGAACCAACCACGTTAATATAGGCATCATATTATACAACCTAAATACCCAACAGAGAGCAAAAACAACCTTTACATGCTTTGAAAATGTGAATTCCATGATACTGTGGAAACAAAAATTTAGAATTCAGGAGCACAACAGACATAGAAGACTCTGTAATACCAATTTATCTGCAATAGCCCATCATGCAGAGAAGAAAACCATGCAAAAAAAAAGAAAATCCTGGCCCCTGCCACAAAATACAGTCTTTCTCAAAATCTTTCTTAAAATGGTAACAAATTAGCATTCAAAGAGATATAAGCTAATTATTATGTAGAAAACATTAGATAATCAGAACAGACTTAGATAATCATATAAGTGACTTACTACGATAGAAACAAAAGAACAATTGTCACAACCTTACCATATTTAACATTTAATGAATTTTTATATAGTTCATTAACCTTAAGACACATTACAAAAAATTAACTTTTTTATGAAATCGTAACATCTGAAATGGAAAATTCATGTAACATATCATCCACTGAGAGGGGGGGTGGGGGTGGAGCCTAGTGGGGCATCAATCAGTTTTACACCACATCCTTCTCATGCAAGAAAAACTTTTCACCCAAAAAGGTGTCAGAGCAAAAGATACAGAGAAAAGACATTCTGTAAGGTGTTAAAGTGTCATATAGATTGACAGTATGGAAGACAACTAGCCAAAATACATATTGGTCCATCGAGGCTATCCCATCTACTATCATGAACTTTAAAATAAATATAAAATACTCAAAGCTAGCCCTTACCATTTAAAAACTTAGCAAGCCTTCCCTTAAACCAACTGCATGTATCACATCTAAAGGCAACCTATTCCAAAGGCCAACCACCTTCTTAGAAAAATAAAGTTGTCTTACGTGAATACAGCTTCTATCTTGCCAAATTTCATACGTGCTTTCTTGTCGTTCCATTCTCATCATTGAATACAAAAAAAAAAGATGATGCATCAACACTATTCATTCTCTTAACAATCTTAAACACCTCCAACAGATCCTCTCTAAATCTTCTTTTTTCAAGAGAAAAGTTCAGAGATCTTAACTTATCCTCATATGACAACTTTACCATCCCAAGCATTATCCTAGTAGCCCTTCTCTGAACCATTTCCAACAATTCAACGTCTAAAGTAAGGAACTTCAAACTGAACACAGTACTCCAAATGTGGCCTAATCAGTGACTTATACAATGACATAACCTCTTTATACTTGTATTCAATATCTCTGTATATACAACGTAAATTCCTATTTGCCCTACCATTAGCAACAGCACATTGCTTGAATGGCTTAAGAGGCTGATCAACCCAAACACAAAGATCTTTTTCTTCCATAATACTGTTAAAATAATTCCCATCAAAATCATAGTCATAATTCAAATTGAGATATCCCACATGCATAAGCTTACATTTTATAATTAAAAGTCACCCTCTTCACAGCCAGCAACACCCAAAACTTTAATATCACCAGCAAATAAAAGTAATTTATTGATTATTCATTCATCTGTATCACTGATGTAAATCAAAAAAAGAATAAAGGTCCTAACACTGAGCACTGAAGTACTCCACTCATGACATGAATCCAGTTTAACTGAACTCCATTTAAAATAACCCTCTTTCATCCAGCCAGTTTTCTATCCAATAAGCCTATTCCTCACACCTACCTTTTCTAACATGCCTTTTATGTGGCACCTTGTCAAATGCTTTATGAAAAACCATGTTGACTATCCACGAAATTGTAAACTTTATCAAATGACTTTGCAGACATTCAACAACTTTTCCCACTACTGATTTAAGACTAATAGGCCTATAATTACTGGGACAATTTTTATCACCTTCCTTGAACAGAGTAGTAACATTAGCCAACTTCCAATCTTCTGGCACTTGCCCACTACTCAAGGACTTAGAAAAAATAGTAGCAAGTAGCTCACTTATCCAATCTTTAACCTTCTTCGAAACCCTTGGGTAAGTATTATCTGGTCCAGGAGCTTTATAATTTTTTAAACTTCCCAATCTATTCTTAACAAGCTCAAAATTAATCTAGTGATCTTGTTCAATCTTGTTTTCATTTAGCAACTGTTCAGGATGAGGAATATTGTTTAAATCTTCATTTGTAATTTTTTTTTTTAATTAATAACCTAGGCATCTCATAATCATCAAGAATTGACCTTCATGTATCATCTCTCATAAACCCTCTTCCCAACTACCACTTTTCTTACCCTTATTGTATTTAAAGAAATCCTTGCTATTAATTTTTATACTTTCAGCCAACCTGTTTTCATAATTATTTATTTCCTAACCTCTTATTTCACTAACTCTCTTAATCTTCTAGGATCCTCCAAACCTCCCTTAATTGAAGTCAATTTAAACTTCTTAAGCATTTCACTATGGGCTCAGTATAAAATACACGAGTTTGTAAACATTTTTGCACACATTAAGTATTTATACTATAAATTTTTAATGCTGTACGTGTATCTTCACAAAATTTAGTAGACTTTTAGTCATGATTCCAAATCTTTTGTAAACAAAAAATCAGATTTTTTAATGAAGTGTTTTTACTAAAGATTTGTTTGTGAAAATATCGAGTCTGTTTCATTACCAGACCAACTGCAACGTGATTTTAATGTAATGATTAAAAACAATTATTCATCCCAAAAATCTCAAATATTATTTGTGTAATCTCTAAAACCTCCTAAATACAGTTCAAAAATTAGGAAATAAATATAAATTATGCTTGTTTGTTCTACAATGACTACAAATCATAACACAAAAACACAAATCTTCAATCTAATTAGCTTAAATCTCATAACATCATACATTTATATATATATTTATTACTTTTAATATATTGACCTTCCACTCATGTCTGGCTAACAATACGGAAGTTACAATGATGTGGCACACATGCACTCATGTTACTGTATCCAATAATATAAAACTGAAATTTAGTCTTTACAAAGTGACCTGTCATGGTTGTGTTTTAGTGGACTAGTATTTTATAAAATATAGTCACATTTCAATTATACGTTATATATGTATATAAGTTATTACTATTTATAAACAAGTTCTTACACTTATTTTTCTTAAAACATAGAACTGTAAATGAACAAGTAAAGCAAACAATTATCTCTTCTTGTTATGACATTTGTACTCAGTTTCTGCTTCTCATAGCTTCCTAAGCCTTAAGAAATTTTGCATGTGGAGGATATGAAATGAAACAACTTTTTTTATTTTATATATATATATATACATATATATAGTTGAATAACCAAAAAAATCATAAATTACTATATTGATACCATAGAATTCCATTAAAACTTATACAGTTTAGTAACTAAGCTGTATTTTGGTCTAAAAAAATATGAAATTTCAAGCAGACAAAGTACACAACCTACCTCCTTGAAATCTTGTTTCAAAAGAACGAGATGGTGTCCTAACATATGAAAATGGCTGAGCAAGCCACTAGGGAGACATTCTGAGCTTTTAATTGGTTATTCAAAGGTCATATACACAAGTAAGTGTATATAAGGGACTGTTTCCAAAAATGGAAAGAGGTGAGCTGGGCCACTGTGTTTCATTCAGTACATCAGCGATATCTCAGCAAACAGAAAAGATAATAGATTCTTATTCAAAATTTTATTAAACTGCTACTTTATGAATTTATGTCATTAAGTTTGGTATTAAAATGTACACTATAATTCATATTTTAGTATTATACATTATTTAATTTCTTAATTTAAAAGTAAATATCAAAAAATACACACTTAAATATTGATTTGTTGAATGCAGCACTGGTTTAAATTAGATGTTTGTGATGTCGAAATACAAAGTCTACAGTTTGGTATGAATTACAAAC